CCAGCATCTCAGACCATAACAATGGGCGCTACGGTCGACCAGACTCCGTTGACAAAACCAGTAATTTTATCGCAGATAATCGTAACACACTTCAAACTGAACAGAAACAAAAACCTTCTTTGGTACTTTCAAATTAATAGGGTTTTAGTCTTTAGTATATACTGTTTTTGAGTTCTTGTCCCCTGCGTTGTGTCTCATTCTGCACTGCTTGCCACACAATATTATATTTTTCTCTCCACAACCATTTGGTGTCCACTCGAAATTATCTCTTGACCCCCCCGACCCCCAGGTTGAGAACCACTGGCATAAGCGATTGTTGTAAGTTTGTATTGTTTAAGCTCGAGCTTATGTAAGAAATAATCTGTGTATCTGTGTGTGTATGCCTTTGAATGTGTGTGTTTGTACATATTATGTGCTACCTATAAACTCACCCCACTATGACGATGACAAAGTCCAGCATGTTCCAGCCGTTTCTGACGTAGGAATTTTGATGCATGACCAAGCCGTAGGCAATAATCTTCAGAAATGTCTCTATAGTGAAAATGATCAGGAAGGCATATTCTACTGTTTCCTGTATAGAGGGAAAGGAAGGAAGAATAGAAGGAAGGGGGAGAGGGAAAACATAAAAGAAAGAAAAAATAAGTTATTAATGTTCAAGTTTAGCTAACCTTTACCAAAGAAATTCACTGTGGGACAAACAATGTGTATGGGGGTTTGCCAAAATAAGAGGCAATGAGGCAAACAGGTATAAAGCACAACAACAAAGAAATCATTTCCCTGGTTACCACAATAGTTGGCATGGCAACTGGTTTCTTTTTTTGTCAAAGCAAGCAGAAAAGTATCATTGACTTTACTTTGATCAGATCCACAACCTCATGTCTTCTGCTGACTTTCAGTGAAATCAGGCCTCTACATAAAGAATGCATGTTATGTATAATGACACACTCACACTCTGCCACAACACACACAGTTTCTATGCTAATCCAGTCCTGTTGTAAAAACTTTCAGGACAGGTCCCCTGCAAGCTGATATATGGTATATGACATCCCTTCACCTCTGAAGGATGTACTGACTGTAAGACCCTACACTTAATGTTAAATCTCCTCAGCTGGTTGACAAATGAGAGCAAAATATTGATTTGTTTTGCTAACAAAAACAATTTGGATGCATAAAAAAATGACATTATTAATTTTTCTTTTTTAATTGATTGATTGATTGTCAGTTCAGTGACAATATCATAATAAGGAATTATCTGGTAATATGCACTGCTGCACACACACACACTGGCTGGTATATGTAGAGCTTATTTCTGGGTGTTTGTGAGCCAATGCAGCCAGGTAAAATACATTTGTGTGTATCTGTTTGTTTGCATGTTATTCCAGTCTTTATGTGTGTAATAAAGCTTTGTGACGTAGCAAAAAAAAGCAGCAGCATGGCTGAATTCATAAATCCAGTTATAATAATGACATAGACATGAGAGGGAGCCAAAGGGAGGAGAGATAAATGATGAATTTATCAGATCTGAAATCTACATGCAAGGAACGAAGTGAATTTCATGAGTGGGTGGAGTAAATATAAATATATGTGTGTCATATTCCATTTTCTGAGTAGGAGCTTTAATATCATATTGGCTTGTTCCAGGTTACTGAGACTCAAGATTCAAATACAAGGTCTATATGCCATAATTTTTAGTCCTAAGGGTAAAGATATACATATATTTGCAATTTAATATATTCTGTTATGTAATACATTGTCATTCTACTTTAAGATATATGTATCTTAAAGTCAGAGGGTACATCTGTTCACTAAGTTTTTTCTTGATTTATTTATTTGAGTTTTATGGTCATACTGTAGCATTCACAGAAAAAACCCATTCAAACCTCATACAAGAACTGTCATTTTGTAAGCAAGGTTTTCCTCTATCAGCATTGTGAAACACTGTCCTTTTATGGAGGGGTGTGGGTGGAGGAGACCTGTATGAAATTATAGCCCTTATGCCTTGGACCACATTATGATGCATTCAGGTGACCCTCATAAACACAGCAGAGAAAGTGATGCATTTTACATAAGTAGTTTGGAATAAAAAGAAGAACTGCTTACAAAGAAACCCATCAGAACACAATTAAGGGTAAAATATGTCACAGTATTACCAGCACTGTTTGATTGACTGATGATCTCTGGGAAATGCAGTGCAGAAACACCAAAGCACTGACGACTTAAACAACTAAGATGTTGCCAAAAAATATATTTTATAGGGGCACAACAAAACTGTCATCTGAAAGATGAAACTCCTCAGTCACACTGTATGTCCCTGCTGCATCATCAGCATGTTTCCATGGTAACAATGTGTCTCGTAATGGAAACAGGTCCATGAATTTGGACATTTCCACACACATCTATTTATTGTGCTTACACATTATTTCACTTTCTCACCTCCACTTTCTCTCTCGCAGAAACACCTTTCACTCTCCTACGTATCTCACTTTTCTCTCCCTTTCTCTCTCTGTCTCTGTCTCTCCCACACCAAAAAATCTCTCTCTCTCTCACTCTCTCTCTCTCTCCGTGTGCATCTCTCTGTCTGTCTCCCTCAATGCAAAAGGTTAGTGAGTTGGCAGGTTTTAAGGCCCATTAAGCTAAGCACTTCTCTTGTTGATTTAAAGGACGCAAAGTGCACATGGACAGCGGCACAAAGACTCACACAGACACATTCATACGCACTGAAAGACGACAACAGTAACACACGCACACAGACTTCACACCCACACACACGAGCAGAGAGACCTGCAGTAGTACACACACACTTCTGAAAGGCAGCAAGCCAACCAGACAGACAGTTTCACACAGGGATTATAAGCGCTCCTGGCAATGGCGACTTAGACACAGCCACAGTTAGGATGTCTACTTAAACAGCAGCGATTCTAAAAAATAAAAACAAAATAAAAAAAAAACACACCACAGCTACCACCAGTTAGTTCTGTAAGTTTTACCTCCATGACTACATGACTGCTCATCATTGCACACAGTCTAATTTAATATGTTCTTCTTTTCAGGCAGCCGCTGGCTTTCATTTATTTCTGTTAAGTATAAAATTTAATTTGCAGTCTCTTTAAACTTGCTTGAGTTGTATAATCCATCACAAGGAACATCAGCTGTGCACATTTTTAACCATGCCATGGCTCTAGAGATGGCAATGTTAGGCTACCCAACTTTGGTCCAGACTGAAATATCTCAACAAGTATAAGATAGATAAAACATTCATGATTGATGAGGATGAACTAATTTAGGTAATTCACTGACTTTTTTATCTATGAGGTTTAAATTTGTGTTTTTTAGTGAAATATCAGAACAGCTATTGAACTTTGGTACACACATTCATGTTCCCCTCAGGATGAATAGCTGATGATATGATATTGGTAATGCCTTTTCTACTGCCATCTTTAGATAAAAATTTTAATTTGTCCAGTACTTTGGTATATAGATAAAAAACTAATGACATTCCCATCAGCCTCAGATGTTAGCATGCTAACACGTTAAACTAAGATGGTGAGCACATTATACCTACTAAACATCAGCATGTTAGCACTGTTATAGTGAACATGTTAGCATGCTGACATTATCTTTTGGCTCAAAGCACCAGTGTGCCTGAGCTACAGCCTCACAGAACAACTAGCATGGCTGTAGACTCTTGTTGGTGTCGTTACGTTGTTGTTGTGCAGTAATGGAGTTGAAGTTCAGACTGATTTAGAAAGCACTGCACTGTCTTACTTCCAAGTAATTATAACTCACAGTGATGGATTACACAAGTCATGCAAGAGTCAGCCATTTGATTTTCCTGCTGTTCCTTCCTTTTCAGTATGCTTTGCAGCAAATATTCAGCTGTAATGTACATTATTCCTGATTCTTAGTAAATGGGCCAAAACATGCCAAATCACTGCTATGGTCCTTTTATACTGAATAGCCCAAATGCTTCGGATGAGCAACTCAGCTGCCGTGTAAATATTGATTTTTCTGCAATGGCTGTGTCTTTGTCTGATTCCTAATTGTTAACTGGTGTACGCTGAGTAGTGTGCCATTACAGAAGCTGGGTGATGACCTGTTAAGGTCAACAAGTGCTATGACTCAGAGCTGTTTCACGCTGATAAGAGCCCACACAAAGCACACATGAACACACACCTGCCTCCGTCCAATTTAACATTCTTGCTTCATCCTCCTGTTGTTTACATAGGTCTGAAATATCCGCACCTCTTCTTAGTGAACAGCTGACAAAGTGTGTGTGCATATGTGTGTGTGTATCTGTGCGAAGTTCAGTCAGCTGCCTTCAGACTGTGACCTGGGAGTAAGGCTGATAATCAACAGGGCTTGGTCTGAAGAATGGAGATTACTGTAGGACAATGGAGACAACAAATAGCACTTGATCTTACATAGTGGATTAACACACACACACACACACACACACACAAATACACACA